AACCTCATTAATTTAGCCGCGTGAAGATTTAGCACGCCGGAAAATCATTCATTTTATAAAAGTTCAATTAAAAAAAAACCCGGTGACTTGGGTTGTTGGGCGCAATTGTTTGTCCTCGGCTAATGGACCGTCCCATGGTTTAGCCATCAGCAAATAATACGGGCTGTGATTACAAGCCGAGGAAGATGGATGGGACAGCGGGAAGACCCTCTCCTCTGGATGGGCCCGGCCATTACTCATAGATCTCTCCATTATAAACCCGGGAAGATGCCGAATGCCATTAATTACTGGAGCAAAAACGGCTTATCTGGTTAAATAGACAAGACGTTTATGGCCCGTCTGGAGGGTTGGATGGGGAGGATATTCATCTTCTTCTAACTCTACGGATAGATAATTCATTAAAAAATCTGCCACCCAGGAGATCTCCTAATTGATTGTTTGGGGATGGAGTGACAGCTTGGTCATGTGATGGCTTCATTGTGGGAAGTCATTGAAGCAGATGCAACAAAAAAACTAAAAAAAAAAAAAACCAACCCACAACCATGGTGCAGTTAAGGGGAACCTGTAAGAATTTTACTTTCCCTGATTGTCCTTCTTGACCATTCACTATAGACCAAGTACTTCACCAAGATTGCAGCCTATCCATTCACTAGAGAGCGGTGACATCACTGAGAACGCAGCCTTTCCGTTCACTAGAGAGCGGTGACATCACTGAGAACGCAGCCGCCCTTCACTAGAGAGCGGTGACATCACTGAGAATGCAGCCTATCCATTTACTAGAGAGCGGTGACATCACCGAGAACTCAGTCTATCCATTCACTAGAGAGCGATGACATCACCGAGAACTCAGCCTATCTATTCACTAGAGAGTGGTGACATCACTGAGAATGCAGCCTATCCGTTCACTAGAGAGCAGTGACATCACTGAGAATGCAGCCTATCCATTCACTAGAGAGCGGTGACATCACTGAGAACGCAGCCTATCCATTCACTAGAGAGCGGTGACATCACTGAGAATGCAGCCTATCCATTCACTAGAGAGCGGTGACATCACTGAGAATGCAGCCTATCCATTCACTAGAGAGCGGTGACATCACTGAGAAAGCAGCCTATCCATTCACTAGAGAGCGGTGACATCACTGAGAACGCAGCCTATCCATTCACTAGAGAGCGGTGACATCACTGAGAATGCAGCCTATCCATTCACTAGAGACCGGTGACATCGCTGAGAATGCAGCCTATCCATTCACTAGAGAGCGGTGACATCGCTGAGAATGCAGCCTATCCATTCACTAGAGAGCGGTGACATCGCTGAGAATGCAGCCTATCCATTCACTAGAGAGCGGTGACATCGCCGAGAATACAGCCTATCCATTCACTAGAGAGCGGTGACATCGCTGAGAATGCAGCCTATCCATTCACTAGAGAGCGGCGACATCGCCGAGACTGCAGCCTATCCATTCACTAGAGAGCGGTGACATCACTGAGAACGCAGCCTATCCATTCACTAGAGAGGTGACATCACTGAGAATGCAGCCTATCCATTCACTAGAGAGCGGTGACATAGAATGCAGCCTATCCAATCACTGGGGACCAGAGGCAAACTCAGAATAATGGCTAATATTTTACAGCATCAAAGGCTGTTGGAAATCTTTGTCTCTCCAGTAATCTGGTGCTTCATAGTCACCATGAATGGGATGGTCTAACACATGAAGGGGATGGTGGAACACATGAATGGGATGGTGGAACACATGAAGGGGATGGTGGAACACATGAATGGGGATGGTGGAACACATGAATGGGATGATGGAACACATGAAGGGGATGGTCTAACACATGAATGGGATGGTGGAACACATGAAGGGGATGGTGGAACACATGAATGGGATGGTGGAACACATGAAGGGGATGATGGAACACATGAAAGGGGATGGTGGAACACATGAAGGGGATGGTGGAACACATCAAGGGGGATGGAACATGAGGGGATGATGGAACACATGAAGGAGATGGTGGAACACATCAAGGGGATGGTGGAACACATGAAGGGGATGATGGAACACATGAAGGGGATGATGGAACACATGAAGGGGATGGTGGAACACATGAAGGGGATGGTGGAACACATGAAGGGGATGGTGGAGCACATGAAGGGGATGGTGGAGCACATGAATGGGATGGTGGAACACATGAAGGGGATGGTGGAACACATGAAGGGGATGGTGGAGCACATGAAGGGGATGGTGGAGCACATGAATGGGATGGTGGAACACATGAAGGGGATGGTGGAACACATGAAGGGGATGGTGGAACACATGAAGGGGATGGTGGAACACATGAAGGGGATGGTGGAACACCCGATGGTTGATATTGTCCCATCTGGAATAATGGCCGGGTTAGTTCGGCTCTTCTGTATTTCTAGTCTCCTCGGCCTCACTTCAGTCGCTGTTCCTTGCTCTCAGTTGGATCGCCAAACACAGCCCCAGCCTAGTCAGTAGAGTTCATGTTACGTTGGTAGGAATGAAGTTGTTGAAACTGTGCTTCAATTAAGAGCCTGCAATTTATTACAAACCATCAAAGTTCTACGCGTTTGGAGGTGGACCTTCACCTTCTTCTCCTCAGGGACAGCAGGTCTGTCTCGGGTTTATGTTGAACTGATACAATGATTTCTCATGAGCTTTGACTAGCTTGTCCATATCAATGACAGCTCCTCCTGGAAGGACACCCCTGATCTCACCTCCCATCACTCAGCTGTACCAACCCATTTCATGGCAGGGTAGCCGCACTCTTAATTACTGGTGGTGGAAGAGCTCAAGCGGGTCAAGAGCCAGCGACTTGATTTGCTGCACTTCCTCATTTGTCAGTCTGTTAGCAGCAAAATTCCATACAATTACGGAGAGAATGACATGCATATTAGGGATAATTAGGGCTCTGCTTAGGCTCAGCAATTACAGGGCCGGCGCTGACTGAGAGGCGATAGCCTTGGGCTCCTTCACCCTTCCAATGCCACATTCTCGTATGTCCACCCTGACCGCGGGGTTAATCGGGCGTCTCAGTGACTAGCCGACAGAACGTAATCTCATTTCTCCAGAGGGTTCAGCTCAATGCTCCATTGAGGGCCATTAGGCAACCGAAGAGTGAAAGAGATTTTCTCAACCATAAATTTTCATATTTTACAAAACATGTCTAGGCTAAAAAAAAAAAAAAAGAATAAAAAGTGCATTAGTTACAGCAAATTAAGATGTTAAACCCGATCTGATCTTTATTGGGGAAATAACGAGCTTTTGATCAGTATCTGAGATCCTTGTCTGCCTCGTGGCCCGTCACAGTTTTTGAGCGTAGGGTTAGGAGCACCTAGTAAGAAGGGTCATGTTGTTCAAAAACACAACCGTTCTGGATGCCCCCAACCCCGAACTAGAAAAAAAAATGGAGTATCTGTTGTATGTTGTCCTCACCATGACCAGAGAGGTAGCAAGCCTAAAATCCACCAAAGATCTCTGAGATACATCCATCAATTGGCCTCCACAAAGGGGGACAACCTATCAGTGGTCTCCAAACTGCAGCCCGGGGGCCGTATAAGACCCTTTGCTTGCCTTTATCAAGCACTTTGGGCACTATTTCCGCCGCTGATTCCAACGATGTGGCATAATTACTCACTGGATATAGTGAATGCAGGGTCCGGGGAGAGCAGATATAGTGAATGCGGGGTCCGGGGAGAGCGGATATAGTGAATGCGGGGTCCGGGGGAGCGGATATAGTGAATGCGGGGTCCGGGGGAGAGGGGATATAGTGAATGCGGGGTCCGGGGAGAGCGGATATAGTGAATGCGGGGTCAGGGGAGAGCGGATATAGTGAATGCGGGGTCCGGGGAGAGCGGATATAGTGAATGCGGGGTCCGGGGAGAGCGGATATAGTGAATGCGGGTCCGGGGGAGGAGCGGATATAGTGAATGCAGGGGGCGGGATATAGTGAATGCGGGGTCCGGGGAGAGCGGATATAGTGAATGCGGGGTCCGGGGAGAGCGGATATAGTGAATGCGGGGTCCGGGAGAGAGGATATAGTGAATGCGGGGTCCGGGGAGAGCGGATATAGTGAATGCAGGGTCCGGGGAGAGCGGATATAGTGAATGCGGGGTCCGGGGAGAGCGGATATAGTGAATGCGGGGTCAGAGGAGAGCGGATATAGTAGCGGGGTCCGGGGAGAGCGGATATAGTGAATGCGGGGTCCGGGGAGAGCGGATATAGTGAATGGGATCCGGGGAGAGCGGATATAGTGAATGCGGGGTCCGGGGAGAGCGGATATAGTGAATGCGGGGTCCGGGGAGAGCGGATAGTGAATGCGGGGTCCGGGGAGAGATATGCGGGGTCCGGGGAGCGGATATAGTGATGCGGGGTCCGGGGAGAGCGGATATAGCGGGGTCCGGGGAGAGCGGATATAGTGAATGCGGGGTCAGAGGAGAGCGGATATAGTGAATGCGGGGTCAGGGGAGAGCGGATATAGTGAATGCGGGGTCCGGGGAGAGCGGATATAGTGAATGTGGGGTCCGGGGAGAGCGGATATAGTTAGTGAATGCGGGGGGTCCGGGGAGAGCGGATATAGTGAATGCGGGGTCCCGGAGAGAGCGGATATAGTGAATGCGGTGTCCTCCGGGGAGAGCGGATATAGTGAATGCGGGGTCCTGGGAGAGAGAGGATATAGTGAATGCGGGGTCCGGGGAGAGCGGATATAGTGAATGCGGGGTCCGGGGAGAGCGGATATAGTGAATGCGGGGTCCAGGGGAGAGCGCATATAGTGAATGCGGGGTCCGGGGAGACCGGATATAGTGAATGCGGGGTCCGAGGGGAGAGCGGAATTGAATGCGGGTCCGGGGAGAGCGGATATAGTGAATGCGGGGTCCGGGGAGAGCGGATATAGTGAATGCGGGGTCCGGGGGAGAGCGGATATAGTGAATGCGGGGTCGGGGAGAGCGGATATAGTGAATGCAGGGTCCGGGGAGAGCGGATATAGTGAATGCGGGGGTCCAGGGAGACCGGAGGGTGGAGTATAGTGAATGCGGGGGGGGGAGGCGGATATAGTGAATGCGGGGTCCGGGGAGAGCGGATAGAGTGAATGCGGGGTCCGGGGAGAATATAGTGAACGGGGGGAGCGGATATAGTGAATGCGGGGTCCTTGCGGGGTCCGGGGAGAGCGGATATATTGCATGTTATTCAGGCGCACAAGACTCCAACTAACGCATTTTTTCGCCAAAATTGGGTGTTAAACCTGTCTTAGGTGAAAAGTGGGTGGAGTCTTGATGGGAGGGGCATGTTGTGACCATGAACAATATACAATGTATCTGTGCTTGCGATAATTTGCATTACCGGCGCCTTCTTTTGTCTTTTATTGCAGATGCTGAAGACATGAACAAGCCCCTGTGCTGATGTACGCCCGGGGGGGACAGGACTTTCTTTTCCATCCGAGGTCTACTGTGACAGGTCCTCTTTATTTCATGTTTTTCATACTATTTAATTCTGACAACATGGTGCGATGCATTTGTATCTGTACTGCTGTAAAGTGGCAGGCATACGCTTTTCTTAATTAAACGTTAATTACACTCAGCGGTAGCCATATGGTTCATCAAGGACTTGAAAATTTTAAACATGTCGAGGCAATAAAGAAAAATCCAATATCCGGAGAATGGGGAAAGTGCTGCAGTGCATTATATAATGTGCGCCCCCCGGAAGCCAGATCGGCAGTAGGGGACGTCTGATGGGCTGGTGCGGTTCGCAGCATTCCACCCTGCACCCTTGCTTTATGTACTGCATTATAGAACAAGTGCCGTGATGGTTTCTGGTGCCTCAGACGTGACGCCATGGAACTTTGAGAAGCAATGTGAACTTCCCTGCTGTAGTCACCTCTGTGACCTGTCCCTAGCTCCTATAAAACCCATGCTCCACCATAGATGCTAGTGTCTTGAGTCAAAGACCTCATAGTCCATCACTCTGTCATGGTCAGGGGTCAGCGGTCAGGCTTGGAGACCAGTAGCTATAGCAGTAGAGAAGCACCCACCAACCAGCTGGATAAAAAGGGGTCACCCAAGGTGTGGGGTCTAAGTACTAACTCATGTTAGAACTCTTGATGGTGGAGATGGGTTTTGCGGCATGTTCATTTCAGGTCGTGGTCCCAGAACTCTTGGTGGTGGAGAACTGGGATCAAGCAGAAGTTAAACAGGCCAAAGGGGAACAAGGGGTTGCAGGCTGGGTTCAAGCAGAAGCATGGTCGAGGAACAAGCCAAAGGATGGGAACAAGGGTTCGAGGCAAGCCAAAGGATGGGAACAAGGGGTTGCAGGCTGGGATCAAGCAGAAGCATGGTCGAGGAACAAGCCAAAGGATGGGAATAAGGGGTTGCAGGCTGGGATCAAGCAGAAGCATGGTCGAGGAACAAGCCAAAAGGATGGGAACAAGGGGTTGCAGGCTGGGATCAAGCAGAAGCATGGTCGAGGAACAAGCCAAAGGATGGGAACAAGGGGTTGCAGGCTGGGATCAAGCAGAAGCATGGTCGAGGAACAAGCCAAAGGATAGGAACAAGGGGTTGCAGGCTGGGATCAAGCAGAAGCATGGTCGAGGAACAAGCCAAAGGATGGGAATAAGGGGTTGCAGGCTGGGATCAAGCAGAAGCATGGTCGAGGAACAAGCCAAAAGTTGGGAACAAGGGGTTGCAGGCTGGGATCAAGCAGAAGCATGGTCGAGGAACAAGCCAAAGGATGGGAACAAGGGGTTGCAGGCTGGGCAAGCAGGCATGGTCGAGGAACAAGCCAAAAGTTGGGAACAAGGGGTTGCAGGCTGGGTTCAAGCAGAAGCATGGTCGAGGAACAAGCCAAAGGATGGGAACAAGGGGTTGCAGGCTGGGATCAAGCAGAAGCATGGTCGAGGAACAAGCCAAAAGGTTGGGAACAAGGGGTTGCAGGCTGGGATCAAGCAGAAGCATGGTCGAGGAACAAGCCAAAGTTGGGAACAAGGGGTTGCAGGCTGGGATCAAGCAGAAGCATGGTCGAGGAACAAGCCAAAGGATGGGAACAAGGGGTTGCAGGCTGGGATCAAGCAGAAGCATGGTCGAGGAACAAGCCAAAGGATGGGAACAAGGGGTTGCAGGCTGGGATCAAGCAGAAGCATGGTCGAGGAACAAGCCAAAGGATGGGAACAAGGGGTTGCAGGCTGGGATCAAGCAGAAGCATGGTCGAGGAACAAGCCAAAGGATGGGAACAAGGGGTTGCAGGCTGGGATCAAGCAGAAGCATGGTCGAGGAACAAGCCAAAAGGTTGGGAACAAGGGGTTGCAGGCTGGGATCAAGCAGAAGCATAGTCGAGGAACAAGCCAAAGGATGGGAACAAGGGTGTCAGGGAAGAAGAATGTCGCACCTGCGCACACATGTACGTGCTGACGTGTACAGGCGGGCTATTTAAACCCCTGCTACACAAACAGAATGGTGCCTTCTGGTCTACTACTTCCTGTTTCCTGACTCCTGTGATCCACTTGCTTAACTGACAACGATTGAACTCCACCTGCACTGACCCGGCTCTCCCTTTGACTATCTGCTTTCCTGCTTCTCTGTACCTGATCCGTCCGATCGATCCTGACCCGGCCTGCCTGACTGTTCTACACTGCCTGTGACTATCCTTGGCTACCAACTGACACGGTCATCGCATCTCAGCTACACCTCTCTGTTGCACCTGCTCACCTGCATCCTGCTACCTGCATCCTGGTATTCCGGATCTTCATCGGCCAGCTGTCACCGCAGACCCGTCAGGCACTCATGCTCCTCCTAGCTCGTTACATCCTGTCTACCCTATCAGGGGTCCAGAACAGGAGTGGTAAGAGGACGCCATCTCTCCACATCAGGCTCTACCACCAGGTACGTTACAGTGGGGTTGCAGGCTGAGATCAAGCAGAAGCATGGTTGAGGAACAAGCCAAAAGTTGGGAACAAGGCTGGGGGTTGCAGGCTGGGATCAAGCAGAAGCATAGTCGAGGAACAAGCCAAAAGTTGGGAACAAGGGGTTGCAGGCTGGGATCAAGCAGAAGCATAGTCGAGGAACAAGCCAAAAGGTTGGAAACAAGGGGTTGCAAGCAGGGCTGGGAAAAGGGGTTAGCAGGAGGGTCAGCTGCCCCAGGCGCAGAGAAGCAAGGAGACAAATATTAGGTGCAGGGTGGTACACTCATACTACAGCATGTATTAATGTTGGGGGGTGCAGTTCTGGATCCTTGCCCTGGGCACTGGACGACCCTGTGCCGATACTGGTTGCAAGTTGGGATCAAGAGAAAGCGTAGTTGAGGAAAGAGAAAAAGGTCGGAAACAAGATGTTGCAGGTTGGGATCAAGTAGAAGTGTACACGAGGAACAACCCAAAGATTGAGAACAAGTGGCTGCAAGTTGGGATCAAGAGAAAGTGTATTTGAGGAATAAGGAAAATGTCGGAAACAAGAGGTTGCAGGTTGGGATCAAGCAGAAGTATAGTCGGGGAACGAGCCAAATGTTGCGAAAAAAATGGTTGCAAGTTGGGATCAAGAGAAAGCGTAGTTGAGAAAGGAAAGAGAAATAGGTCGGAAACAAGTGGCTAGGATCAAGCAGAAGTGTAGTCGTGGACCAAGTCAAAGGTTGGTAACAAGTGGTTACAGGTTGGGATAAAGTGGAAGCATAGTCAAGAACCAATAAAAAATTTGGTAACAAGTGGTTGTCGACTGGGATCAAGTGGAAGCGTAGTTGGGGAACAAGCCAAAGGTTGGTAATGAGTAGCAGTGGAGATACAAACAACAGTAGGATAGACAAGAGCAAAATATCGGCTGGGAGAGAGAGCAATAATCTGGCAAACAGGAAGTGCAGAGACGTGGCTTAAACAGGAAGTTCTGGAAGGAACAACGAGTTGAAGGTTCACCAAAAAGCAAGAAACAAGGCAAGAAAGTCCTAAACAAGAAGACAGGGAGCTAGCCAGCATCTCAGGTGGCCCAGCAAGAAGATTTACTGCCAGACACAGCAGGGGTCCCTGGTTCAGATCCAGGGCCTGACACACCCTGACATTGCTGAACCCAGCCAAGCCTGGGGTCCGCTTAGGTTACCTTACCACCACCTAATGGAGGACTTCATGGCTAGCTCTTCCTATGCGTCACCTCACCCTTATACAGGAAGAGGACGCCCAGATTGGATGGAGATCACCCTACAAGGGACACCTCCGACATGTACACCAACCATGACCCGGCTTTTCCCCCCATTACCCTGCCTGGTCACCCCAATTTTCCTTCATTCTATTATTTTATATCTAGTTGGTTTTCCCCAGATCGGTTTTGTTATGGTTTGCCGTACATCACAAGAATCCGCCCTTCAGCACTAAGTTGAGGTTTGGTCTCCCTCGTAGTCTCGGACAGGGGCAGACTGACCATTCGAGCACTCAAGCACTGCCTGAGGGCCCGGGGTCAGTAGAGAGCCCCATGAGGTGCCCCTGGTACCTTTCATAGGCATTTGTGGGTGTGGTTTGAGTGTGGGCGAGGATACAGGGGCTTCATGATCCCCTATTGCCCGGGAGCCCCATGAGTTGTCAGTCCGCCTCCGGTCCCAGATATCTGGGTGCGTTGCATAACCTGACCAATCCTCCTTGTTATATATAATGGAGATGATATACATAAAGTAACAAATCATATAGAAAACAATAGGTCTAATAAAGTTTACAAAATTTAAAAAAGTGACCAAAAACTCTTGTGCCTCGTTCTCACTGGGTGGGTTGGGCTGCCTTGATCAGCATTGCAACAACGAAGGCTCAACCCAAGAGGACACACGTGGTGTGCGATGCAAAAAAAAAAAAAATCAGCATCTTTGCACCTCCCTCTGGTGCTTCTTAGGGCTTTCCCATGTGAAGGGGGTCCAGTACCTGATCCGGAGATGTCGCTGGGTTATCATAGAGTAGACCTGAAGGTCCCTAGATGTCTATGGTCCAGGACAGTGGTCTCCAAACTGCGGCCCGAGGGTCAAATGTGGCCCTTTGCTTACCTTTATCTGGCCCTTGAGGCACTATTCCACCAACTGTCATCAGTGATGGAGCACCATTCCCTCTACTGACACCATCAATGGAGCATCATACTTCTCATTGATATCAACAATGGATCACCATTCCCTCTACTGACACCATCAATGGAGCATCATACTTCTCATTGATATCAACAATAGATCACCATTCCCTCTACTAACACCATCAATGGAGCATCATACTTCTCATTGATATCAACAATGGATCACCATTCCCTCTACTGACACCATCAATGGAGCATCATACTTCTCATTGATATCAACAATGGATCACCATTCCCTCTACTG